TGGTGCTTCGGAGGTCGACTCTGGGGCTGCCGCTGCCCCGGACACTACTCCTTCCCCCCACCCCTACCCGACCAGGTTCCAGGCTCGTGTTCGTCGTGCTCGTGAGGAGCAGCTGGAGTTGGAGAGAGAGGAGAGAGAGTTGCAGCGGCTCGAGGAGCAGGAGCGACAGCAGCAGGAGCAGCAGCAGGAGCAGCAGCCGCTGGAGCAGCAGCAGCCGCAGCAGCCGCAGCAGCAGCAGCTGCCGTCTCCTCCTCCTGTCTCGGGTCTTCGGACCCTTGGTCTCCCGTCTCCCTCTCCTTCCTCCTCCCCCTCTCCTCCCGTCTCTGGTCCTCCGCTTCCTCCTCCTGACCCCTCTCCCGCTGTTTTCCCTCGTTCTCAGTCTTCGTTGTCCCCTCCTCCTTCTCAGACTTGGGCCTCTCGTCGCTCCCCTCGTGCTCGTCCCTCGTCTCCTGTTCCCTTCACTGACCTTCGTACTGCCTTACTTCGTTCTAGTCCACCTCGTCCGTCTCCGTCTGTGCTTCCGTCTCCTCCTGAGTCGGCCCTCACTGTGTCGCTTCCTTCTCCTGTCACTGACTACTACCGCACGTACCGTCCTGTTCTCTCTCGTGTTCTCGCCTCTCTTGTTACCCACCCTCGTGCCTCTGTGTCCTCTGTGTCCGCTCTTACTGCCGCAGTCACTGAGTTTGCCTCTACCCGCCGCCTTGACTTCGCCACCGCTCTTGTGGCTGCTCCTCCTTCCAGTCCTCTGGCCGTCGGAGGTGTGTCTGCCCTTGGCAGTGACGCCCTAGAGGACAGGCAGTTTGAGCTAGAGTTCCTGGCCGCCGCTTCCCCTCATCTCTGTGCCATGCTCCTCGCCCCTGAGGGTGACCCCGACGCCCTTGACATTCCGACTCCTCGCACTTACGCTGAGGCAGTGTCAGGGCCTTGGGCCTCTCAGTGGAGAGCTGCCATGGACGCAGAGATGGCCTCCTACAGATCCACAGGCACCTACGTCGATGAGGTTCCCCCTCCGGGGGCGAACGTAGTCGACGGCATGTGGATCTACAGGGTGAAGCGGCCACCGGGATCTCCTCCGGTCTTCAAGGCACGCTACGTGGCTAGAGGTTTCAGTCAGCGCGAGGGAGTTGACTTCTTTCAGACCTTCGCGCCCACCCCGAAGATGACCACTCTTCGGGTGTTACTACACGTAGCAGCACAGAGAGACTACGAGTTACACTCTCTCGACTTCTCTACTGCTTTCCTTCAGGGCAGTCTTCACGAGGAGGTCTGGTTGCGTCGTCCCTCTGCCTTCACTGGCTCTTTCCCTCCTGGGACCCAGTGGAGGCTGAGGCGACCGGTTTACGGTCTTCGTCAGGCTCCTCGTGAGTGGCACGACACCCTGCGTTCTACCCTGTCTGACCTTGGGTTCCAGCCGTCTTCTGCTGACCCGTCGCTGTTCGTTCGTCGTGGCACCACACCTTTCTTTGTTCTGGTCTACGTTGACGACCTTGTTTTCGCCACCCCTGACAGGGTTGCTTTGGCACACGTGAAGTCCGAACTGCAGAAGAGACACACCTGCACTGATCTTGGTGAGCTGCGCCACTACCTTGGCCTGCAGATCACCAGGGACAGAGCTGCTCGCACCATTACACTTTCACAGTCGCACATGGTGCAGCAGGTCCTTCAGCGGTTCGGGCTTCAGCACTCCACAGTACAGCGCACACCTCTTGCTGTTGACCACAGACTCACTGGAGTTCGAGCCTAGTGGTCCCTACGCAGAGCTTGTGGGTTGCCTCATGTACCTGATGACTTGTACTCGCCCGGACCTCGCCTTCCCTCTCAGCGTTCTTGCGCGCTTTGTTGCGCCAGGGAGACACCGTCCTGTTCACTGGACAGCAGCTGTGAGGGTGGCGAAGTACCTAGCGACGACGTCAGGCGTGGGGCTAGTTCTTGGAGGGCAGCAGTCTGTCGTACTTACTGGTCACTGTGACTCCTCTTACGCTGACGACGCTGAGACTCACAGGTCTACTCAGGGGTACTGTTTCAGCCTGGGTTCTGGAGCTGTTTCCTGGCGGTCCACGCGCTCCTCTTCGGTCTCGACCTCTACAGCTGAGGCTGAGATCTACGCTGGTGCCATGGCGGCACAGGAGCTGCGTTGGTTGACCTTCTTGCTCACCGACCTTGGTGAGCGGCCGAGCTCTGCACCGACCTTGTTCACTGACAACAAGGCGTCTATTCTCCTTTGTCGAGAGCCACGACTGGAGAGCAGAGTGAAGCACATTTACGTCAGGTACTTTCTTCTGCGAGAGTTGCAGAGGCGTGGACAGGCTCGCTTTGAGTTTGTGGAGTCCGAGGCCAACACTGCAGACATCTTCACCAAGGCGCTTCCGCCTTGTGACCACCAGAGGTGCTGTGTGCAGTTAGGCCTTGTTGACACTGGTTCTCGTGTTGCTTAGACTTGAGTGTACTGTTTACTTTGCTTTCTATATATCTCTTTTATTTCTTGGACTTTCCTTGTGGCCTCTGTTGTTTGTGCTCAGACTGTGTGGTGACGTTGTGATCCACCCTGAGCTTTGTTTCTTGGACTGGTCTTGTGACCGTACTCGTTTGGTTCTGCTAGACACCCCTCACTTAGGCTATGGGGGTGTGTCAAATGTTGTAGCCTATAGTGAGGTTTGTCTTAGGGGGTACAAAACTTAGGGTTAGCTATATGTACCCCAACCAACATCAATGCACCATCCATTCTTCATTCTGACATCATGCATCTTGGCTTCCAGCACCTTCATCTCTGCCCTGTGTGATGAGAATGATGGTGAAGGGATGATGGTGAAGGGATGATCGTGAAGGGATGATGGTGAAGGGATGATGGTGAAGGGATGATGGTGAAGGGATGATGGTGAAGGGATGATGGTGAAGGGATGATGGTGAAGGGATGATGGTGGAGGGATGATGGTGGAGGGATGATGGTGGAGGGATGATGGTGGAGGGCTGATGGTAAAGGGATTATAGTGGTGAGAAGAAACGATAGAGGTAGAATGGGTGGGCAGTGATAACCAGACAGCAGCTGTGGGCAGCGTAGGGAGGGGGGGAGGGGGGGAGCGAGGCAGGGAGGGAGCGGGTGCGAAGGTGGGGAAGGCGCTGGCCGTGCAGCCTCCAGCACGGAAGGCGGGGGCAGAGGCACCTCACCTGGTGCCCTGCGGCTCACCATGCAGCCCCCAGCGGGGAGAGAGGGAAGGTCAGAGGAAAGGAGAAGGGATGGCACGGAAGGAGGAGGCCCTCACTTGGCGTCCTGTAGCTCGCCGTGCAGCCCCCAGCGGGGAGAGAGGGAAGGTCAGAGGAAAGGAGAAGGGATGGCACGGAAGGAGGAGGCCCTCACTTGGCGTCCTGTAGCTCGCCGTGCAGCCCCCAGCGGGGAGAGAGGGAAGGTCAGAGGAAAGGAGAAGGGATGGCACGGAAGGAGGAGGCCCTCACTTGGCGTCCTGTAGCTCGCCGTGCAGCCCCCAGCGGAGAGAGAGGGAAGGCCGAAGGGGGTTTGAGGGGAGAAGGCGGATTTATGCACAGCACAAAAGGGGAGGGAGGGGCAGAGGCGCACCTGGTGTCTTGCAATTCGCCGTGCAGCCTCCAACGCGTCTGAAAGCCTTCAGGCCCGGGCGTGGCGCTGGCCAGGATGAGGCGCCTGCATGCGTGGATGGGGGATGTGTGTGGGTTGGAAGTAGTGAGAGTCAGAGAAGCACTTGATGACTTGCAGCCTACAGCTGGTTTGGAAGCCCTCCGGGCCGAGGGTGGGACTGGCCAGGATGAGGCGCCTGAATGAGCGGGTGGGGGACGCAGGAGATGCATGTGTGTGAATAAAGCTTGTGATGTGACTACAGCATGTGGAAAAGCGAGGCACACTTCCGTGTGCAGCCTCCACCAGGTCTGGAAGCACTCCGGCCTTCTTTCCTTGTGTGCCATAAACCCTCCTTTTCCTGCGTGGCAGTGGCCACAATGAGCCGCCTGCCCACGTGGAGAAGGGGGAAGGCGTGTGAGGATTGGGGATCGGGGCGGTGAATGTTGGGATGGGAAGGAATGGCACTGCCCAAGACGAGCTGCTTGCACAGAGTTGCCACTAACTCTCAACCTAAGGGTCGCGTAAAGAAGACTAGAGTTAGGGTTTTCCCAATTGCCAATGATTTGAGGGTTTGGCCACCAATGTTGGCTCCCCAACAATTGTCACATCATGCCCTATTCGCACAATTGGGAAAACCCTAACTCTAGTCTTCTTTACGCGGCCACAATTGTCACATCATGCCCTATTTGCACAATTGGGAAAACCCTAACTCTAGTCTTCTTTACGCGGCCACAATTGTCACATCATGCCCTATTTGCACAATTGGGAAAACCCTAACTCTAGTCTTCTTTACGCGGCCACAATTGTCACATCATGCCCTATTTGCACAATTGGAAAAACCCTAACTCTATTCTTTACGCGGCCACAATTGTCACATCATGCCCTATTTGCACAATTGGGAAAACCCTAACTCTAGTCTTCTTTACGAGGCCACAATTGTCACATCATGCCCTATTTGCACAATTAGGAAAACCCTAACTCTAGTCTTCTTTACGCGGCCACAATTGTCACATCATGCCCTATTTGCACAATTGGGAAAACCCTAACTCTAGTCTTCTTTACGCGACCACAATTGCCCTATTTGCACGGCTCTTCTTTTTAAACATTGGGAAACCCTAGCCAGCTCTTGAGTTCATTTCATCCCAACTATGAGATTCTTACACTCTCATCGCCCCACTTGCTCCTCATTGTCCTCTGCTGTCTGACAGCAAGCGTCTCACCGGACTAGATGCTCACTGCCCCGCCCTGTTCGATTCACGTCACCCTCCCTACCTCTCTAGCTGCTCGGCCTGCGCTCTCATCACCCCCATTCGCTCCTCGTTCCCCTCAACTTCACAGCAGGTAGCCTCTCAGCGGAATAGCAGCTCACTGCCTTCCTATGTCTGGCTCGCACACAGCACAGATGCCCTTCCTACCTCTCCAGCTGCTCCGCCTGCCCTCTCATCGCCTCCACTCGCTCCTCGTTGCCCTCTGCTGACCGACAGGCCGCTGCCTCCCCCTCTGCCTCCAGCAGCCGCGCCCGCAGCACCTCATCCTCCACGCGAGAGGGTTGAGGAAGGAGGGGAGGAGGGTTGCGAGAGTCAAGGGAAAGGGTGGACTAGGGATCATGGGACGCACATCCAGCAATTGTTGGTAGTCACCTTCACTGCCTGCAGCAGCCGCGCTTGTAGCACCTCATCCTGCAAGCAAGAGACTGGAGGGGAGAGGAATGGAGGGAGGCTGCCAAAGGGAGATGAGGAGAGGTCTGGGTGGGTCCACTGGGGAGGTTGGGAGCGCGCGCAACAACAGGTGGTTGGGAATACCCCTATCTTCCTGCACCAGGCTAGCACCAGCAGTGCTCAACGAGGGACGGGGATGGGTGTGAGCGTTGGACCAAGGAGGGGTGGAAACGCATGCACGGACAGTGCACAGCCCGCCCCCATTTGCGCAGCAACAGGCAGGCCGGCCGGAAGGACCTCACGCTGATGAGGGACGCACGGGGAGCGGCGTTAGATTTCTAATCTCAAAAGAGGCCTCCTACAAGGCGGGCCGGAAGGAGCTGCTGATGAAAGAGGAGGCGTGAGAGGGCAGAATGGCAGCAGGAAGAGCCTTGAATGGCCTTCTGGCAGAACGCCTGCCCTGTGCGCCTCTGCACCTACCCTGTGCGCCTCTGCACCTACCCTGTGCGCCTCTGCACCTACCCTGTGCGCCTCTGCACCTACCTTGTGCGCCTCTGCACCTACCCTGTGCGCCTCTGCACCTACCCTGTGCGCCTCTGCACCTACCCTGTGCGCCTCTGCACCTACCCTGTGCGCCTCTGCACCTACCCTGTGCGCCTCTGCACCTACCCTGTGCGCCTCTGCACCTACCCTGTGCGCCTCTGCACCTACCCTGTGCGCCTCTGCACCTACCCTGTGCGCCTCTGCACCTACCCTGTGCGCCTCTGCACCTACCCTGTGCAAAAGATCTGCACCTTCCCTCCCTTCCGCTAACCCATGTGCTGTGCGCCTCGCCCCTCACCCCCACCTTACCTACCTATCCTCTGCCCCTCTGCACCGCCCTATCCAATCCACATACCCGGTGCGCCGTGCAGCGTCGCAGAGTAATGACGGCATCCTGGCAGAACAGCTCCACCTTCCCTCCCTTCTCTAGACTCTCACCCATACCTCTCCACCGCACTGTGCCCCTCTGCACCACCCTGCCTACCCTGTGCGCCGTGCAGCGCCGTAGTGTGATGATGGCATCCTGGCAGAACGGCTCCACTTCGTTTGCATGCAAGCCTGTGGCGCTCGCACGGGGGAGACGGTGGCGGAAAGGAATAGCAAAGGGGAGAAAATGCGGGAGGGGTGAGGCGGAAGGGAGGCGGAAAGTGCAGCGCATTTTATGTGGGCGCGGAAACGGAGGGATCGCACTAAAAAGGAAGATATTCTAATTCGCGCCGTTCCCTGCCCCGTCTCGAGCACTCTCACTCGCGGCGACGTCACCGGTGACATTACTGCGATTCGAACACACGCACAGCTTGCGCAACCACCAGTTGAATTAAACGGCACACATTTGGAGAGATCTCTAGTGATCCGTCGCCGCCCGTATCGACGCCCTCTAGCATCCACGCGCCTACGTTCTCTGCCATCAGTCTAATCCAACGGCTGATATTTGACCTAGCCCCGTGCAGATCACATTGAACAGCTCACATTCAAAGAGAGCTCTCAATCGGTCGCTGCACGTCTTGAGGCCCTCCAACACTCGCGGCGCGAGGTCTCGCAGAATCACCGGCGATGGCGGCCCCGTGATAAGGTCGTTCGCTGTAAGAATAAATTCCTCCGCCATGGCGCCTACCGTCAAGTAGCTCCTTTGCCTGAGGAAAGAAGTTACTACTTAATCAGAGGAGAAAAACAGCTCACGAAAATCGTGGAGGTAGCGCGTCTAGAATATCCTAGAGACTCCGTTTTTTTTTCTTCCCTGCGTGAATAGCCCTTGGCTTGTTGCTTGACTGTTGAAATTAGGGTTGCGACTTTCATATCTTGCACGAGAATTTGCTTGATCGCAAAATTCAGTTTGGTTCGTTGACAAGCGGCGAGTAACCAGAATTGTGAGAGGGGTTGCGACCACAGCCACACCATCGCTTGTCCGCGATGCATTACGAGCAAAATATTTTGTTCGCCTTCGGATTTCGCAACAAGGGTAAACGAGTCGCGTCCCCTCTATGAGTTGAATACTCTCCTTCCCAAGAGGAAATGACGAACCGCGGTGCTTTCTCGTCTCCAATTCCAACGGGCAGTGGTTTTGACACGGTCCCTGCCACGCGCTCGCGCCCGATTCCCACCGTCAGTTTTCCCCATCAATACTCAGCATTGTGGTTTTTTATGAGTTTTAAGTTGGCTGACGGTTTCTGCCCGCGGCGGCAATTTCAACTGAATTCCCCGACCAATCATTACGCCGCCCAGGAAGCACTTGTAACAGTGTGATCCAATGATTTCAAAAGATTCTTTCCTCCAAACACGGAAACACTGTAATTCTTTAACTGACGCTCAATTCTCCCGCCACTCACGTTGGCTGCGTGGCCCGTAAACAACACGTGAAACACCTCGAACAGTTCAAACCGCCCATTTTCGCACGCGTAGAGAATTCACCGACAAAAATTACACTCCCGCCATTGTCGTACCCCCGTAGAGGTCTTACTAATGCCCCGTGAAGCACTTCTGGAGGTCCAAATCGCTGTCATTGTCGAGCGCACGCAGTTTCCCGCCGATGAAATTGCAGTCGCCCCACCTTTCCTCCCCGAGTTCACTGCTGTTCAGTCTGGTACTCATCAACGTACCGTTGTGTCCATATCATCGTGAAGAACTGCTTGCTCGGTGGGCCTTGCTAAGTTGTTTAAGTCTGCCAGTATCTAGCTCAGCCATTACATGCTTCTTTAAGTCAGCCAGCAGCAACCATGTCGGAACCATCTGAGCGCGCCGAGCGTTTAGTGAATAATATTATAGAGGCAATGCGAAACGTTCCCCCCGTTCCGCCAGCACAACCAAAACCGCCTAGAGATAATGCCCCATTGAGGCAAGGTGGAATATACTCCTCGAGGGATATGGCATTCAAGGCGGCGCAGGCCTTCGCGTTGCAGCACCGTTTTGGATTCAGGACCGTGGAGGTGGCGGACGCCCACGTCATACTCCAATGCAAGACCGCCATGCATGGAGGAACGCCAATATGTCTTTGGGAATGTAGTTACAGTAAGGTAGTACATGGCAGCTTCTGGATGGTGACGTCACTTTCTCTGCCTGACGCATACATCTGCATCAAATACAGGCGAGAGCAGGGAGCAAACGCCCTCGCCAATAGCGTCAAGGTCATGAAGCGGCAATGGGGCAACCTTGTTTGCGGCGCACCGTTCATTTCGGCGAAGATTTTGCAGCAGCTTCTCACGTCACACAGCAAGTTTCAGATCAGTTATAAGCAGGCGTGGCGGTTGCGTGAGGCGATACAGAAGGAGATGTACGGGGACTGGCAGGAGTCGTTTAGGTTGCTCCCGGCGTTGGCTGCACAGTTCTGGGAGATAGATCCAGATGGAAACTTCGCCATTCAGACAGTCGATGGCTGTTTCAACCGGATGTACATTCAGCCGTCCGCTTCCCGCGGTGCCCTTGGTTTTTGTCGCCCCGTTGTTGCACTGGACGGGACCTTCCTAATCAGTGCACAACGCGCAACCCTGCTCATTGCCGTGGTCCTCGACGGTAACCAGAAGATTCTGATGCTGGCGTGGGCTCTGGTCGAAGGAGAGAACAAGGATTCGTGGACCTGGTTCCTGCAACATTTTTTGGGGAGCTTCTTGGAGTGGCTGCACCGTCAAGATGCATCCATCATTAGCGATCGCGACAAGGGCCTGATTCCTGCTGCACGAGATGTACTGATTCACTACTTTTGTGCGTGGCATCTCCATCAGAATGTGGTGAAGTTTGGTGAAGCTGCTGCTCTTTTCTTTTGGCGTCTTGTGAAGTGCAGGGACCCCGACAAATGGGACGCCTTGGTGGCAGCATGCCGCCGTGACTTTGAACCAATGGCGAACTATCTCCTCGGCATCGAAAAGCCGAGCTCGGGGCCCTCACCTGCAGACGCTAGTGAGCAGCAACTCCCGCTCCCACCACAGCAGCAGAAGCACGTCAACAAGTAGCCGAGAATCGTCGCCAGGGTCGTGAAGCAGCGCGGGCCGCCATGGGTCGCGCCACCACTTCACGTGCGCATGGGCGTGGGGCGGGTGAAGCGAGCGGGCCGGGAGCCACACCGATCGAACCCGGGCCTGCACCTTATGAGTGCACTTCTGCCCCTATGGCTCAGCCGGCAGAGTCCCCTGCCACCAATGAGCCCCCCGGTCGTCCCTCAGGTTCGACTCCTCCAACAGCACCTCCGTTCGATTATGCACGCATCATGCGACGTTTTAGGACAGGATACATCCCCAGCAACATCCGGACGGACCTGCCACGTGCAACAGGATCGAGCGGAAACTCGGGCCAGGGTGGAGAAGAGCACATTGGAGGAAACACCTGCCAAGCATTGGTCGTTGTCACTCTGGATCACCCGTGGGCAGATGTCGGTGGTGGCACCCCCCACGTTAACCTTGAAGCCGATGCTGAGGAGGGCGATGAGGAGGAGGTAGATGCTGAGGAGGCAGGGGCAGAGGATGCCGATGACCCAGCCACAGCAGAGGGGACACAGGCTGATGCTGACGCCGACGCCAATGACAACACGCAAGAGGCCGCTGTCGTGGAAGGGGACCATACTACCCGCGTGCGGACTGGGTTTAGGCAGAACAAGCGTGGTACAAGGAAGAAGTTGGGCATCAACCTCATCCACTGGACTCGCATTAAGGCCCCAACCTGACGCTTCGGGATCTTCACGAGCAACGCTGCAGAGCAGGTCAATAGCTCAATCGTGCCCATTCGTCGCTTGTCGATCACCCCTCTGCTTGGGGGGCTCATGGACTGGTATCGGAATAGGCATTGTGAACGAAAGATGGCTGCGGGCAAGAGAACTGCACTACTGACAGAAGCGGCAGAGGAGCGGATGGTGCTGAAGGAGACACGGGCGGAGGGGTACGAGCTATTGGGCGGGGATCTTGAGGAAGGAACCATCCAGACCAGGGACACCGACGATCCCAAATAATGGAGGTCCTTCAACGTCAACATCGCGGCGAAAACATGCGACTGCTCAAAGTGGGACCAGTACCAGTTTCAGTGCTTCCATGCCGTGGCCTTTGCTGTGAAGTGGAAGCTAGACCCCCGCACTCTCGTCTCTGACTTCTACACCACGAAGAACTGGGCAGAGACTTATTCTTCAATGGTGCGAGGTTCCTGTGTGGACCGCATCGTCCTTGGGAGGAGGCTGGCCACACCAGGCGTGTGCGATGCTCCGCCCTTTCGACGCACAGCTGCCGGCCGCCCGCCGAGCTACGCTCGCTTCGAGAAGGCCGTGCATCCGTACAAGTGCAGCGTTTGCAAGATACACTGTCACAACAAGAACCGCTGCATGGGCAAGTATGGAGGGAGCGCTTATCCGGAGAAGAGGAGGTACCGTAAGCGCCCAAAGGGGCGAAAGTCCTATCGCGAGACAACGCCTTTTTCGAGCACTATTTGATCCATGCGGGGATTCATCTAGCTATAGTTGCTTCTTTATGGGTTCGGGTAGTCACTGTAATAGGCGTCTTCTGAACACTATGGTTAGGTAAGCACATGTAGTAAAGGTGTACCGGATGCATAGGTTCACGTTTTGTATTTTCAGTAATTGATGTGAAGAATAAAGACCAGTAGCGTGCAGATTTAACATCGGGCTTCCAACAACCAAAACGTGAAAACCCCGTGAAGGTAGGCCTGGACCAAAAATAAATAGCCCGTGGATTGATCTTGTGGAGCTTCCTGAAAATATCAAGGGTTTCAGACTCCGTCACTAGGTCGTCAATATCCCGTGAGCAAACTTTCGCGTCAAAGTGAAGGTACCCGTGCTCGCTGTGGGAATACAATGCCACTGATCATTTACCGATAGTTTGTGACACGCCAGTGAAGTGTCCGTGAAGTGTAGTAATTGAGCTCTGCGCGTGTGACTGGTTTGGAGTGCCAGTAACAGCAGCATCACTAACTCGAGAAACGTGTTGGATCACCCACAATTTTCCCTCCTGTCTTTGTCTTCACCCCGTGACAATTTCGCTTACCGCCGTTCACCCAGCGTCCGCTTTTGTCGGATGAGGTTTTCTCCGTGTTGCCCGCTATTTTTCTGGCGTTCGATGAACGCACGAACGCTATCGTAGTTGGAACGAGTTGGTCATATCAAACTCTCAGCCAGCTGCTTCATTGCCCACCGTGCCTATCGCGCTTAGAACTCCGCAGCTTCGAGAACTCCATCTTCGCTGCTACACCGCGGACAGGTAGACCGTTGTATTAGGAGAAACGCCGCCAGCTGCCACAACTTCTTCAGTCCCGGTTTTTTCGGCATGGTAACTGTCGCCGATGGTCCGGTTTTGTCAGGGCCGAAATAGTGCCGCTTGAAAATTTCTTGAATGCCCTGCTATCGAACCAGTGCCACCCACGCCTTTCTAAACAGCACAAGGCTAAACACACGGCCCCACCTTTTTATCCAGTAGCCAACATGACTTAAGAATTGCCTTCGAGGCCTTCTAGTGTGAGGTACGTGAAACGTCGTAAGACCTTGGCCGATAGGGAGCTCCTTCTACTACCGCCGCTTAGCCGCGAAGCCCGGCCTCAGCAAATAGTCTTCTTTGTAGGTTGTTTTCTCGCCTCCTGAAGCCCGGAATCCGTTTCTCTCACCAGACCCGTATTTGTCGCAACTCCGTTTATTGCTGCTCGTAGACCATGCGAAATTCGCGGGTCTAGACGCTGCACCAAACCGTTGTCCCATCGGTGTACTGCCCTGTCTGAAACGCAATTTCCCTTGATCAGGGGGAATCTGTGTCGCCTGAAGTACAGTGTTGCTACAATATGCCGATCTTGATGCAGGCCCATAAGTGACCCTAACGCGAACAGTCTAGTCGTAGGCGGCCTTTTCCGCACTTTTCGGTGGTTTGAAAATAACTTCCGTCCCACACTGTGCCGCTCCTGCCGAAAAACGCCCACGACGCACCCTCCTGCAGAACGCCGCTGCACCCGGGCGGGACAACGGGAGACCCCCGCTTTCTTCGGGCAGTCGTCACGCCGCCTCTCCTCGCGTCAGTTTTTTCACGCAATTCACCTTGCGCCTGGCTGCTCGCCCAGCAGACGTTTTCCACGTGCTGCTACTCCGAAATCTTCGCACAGAGTGACCACGATTGCCACTTGCCGAAGACGTCCAACGGACTCATGCGCAACGTGACGAAGACGCTCGACGCCACTTGCTTCATGCAGTCAACTCCAAATTGCACTACTATAGCAGCTTGACAGAGCTCAGAAGCACGATTCCAACGCACCAAAGATTGCAGGAAACGGTCCACTATAGCCAGAGATACACACAAACATAGCAGTGGTACTGACTTGGATGATTTCTGGTTTGTGCTCGCTGGTTTTATATTAGGACGCAATACAAAAACAAAGCACACAAGAAAGTGTCGACCCGGGTCGCGCATCGATTCTACCGACGCGAAATTCCGAGCCTTGAATTTCGCCGGATGAATTCCATTGACTGGAATTCCGTAGACGAGAATTTCCGCGACCAGAATTCCGTCGACCACTGGCTGTAATGTCAACGGGAGTTGTGTTTGGCCCCGTCCTCGCTTGGGCGGAGCCGACCTCGTGGTCGGGTGTGCGGGGGGACACAGCCGACCTGCAACAGTGGGTACGGGGGCCACTGCAAGGGCGTTGAGCTGGGGGGCGCCTGGCTGGAGGGCGCCGAGCAGGTGGATGCCACCCTTGGCGTTTGGGGGGCGTCTTGGGCGCTTGCACGGCTACCTGGGCGCCTGGACGCCGACTTGGGCGTCTGCTCGGCGTCCTGGGCGTCTGCTCGGCGTCCTGGGCGCCTGGACGCCGACTTGGGCGTCTGCTCGGCGTCCTGGGAGGCTGGACGCCGACCTGGACGCCAGGACGCCGACCCTGAGACGCTGGGTTTTGTGTAGCCGGCGACCGACTGGGCTGGACGACCAGGCGGGGTTGCCCGGTCGTCCGGGATACCCGGGCGACGTGTGCGAAAGTCGCCGGGATGGTTTCTGCGAAGGCGACCTCGGGGGTCGTATCCCGAGGTCGACATGGCTGGCGGGCGCAGTTGCTGGCATGGAGTCTTCTAGGCATCTGCGCTGTGCTCGTGACGGGGTGTGGAGCACCAACCAGCTGCACGCACCTGCGAAGCAGGTGCACCGTTGTCCTGCGGGTGCAACGCTGTGCAGCCGACTTGCTGCAGCGTTGGCGCACCGCAGACTTGCGACGTTGGCAAGCCGCTACTTTGCTGCGCTGGAGCGGTGCGAGCTCTGCTGCGCTGGACCGCGGTCGACCATGCTGCGCTGGAAGTCGACCAGCAGCTGTGCTAGCTCTGATGTAGCCTTGCATGCCAATGTTGTTGCCATCATTCTGAACCTCATAGTTGTGAACTTATGCTAGTGGAACTCTTGCCAAATTGAACCAGCAAGTAGTGAGAGCACAAGTGAACGACTAAGGAACATACGCAGAGATCACTCCTACCCCGTGCCTAGCCCGTAGTCTAGCTCTCGTTTACAGAGTTATCTTCGCATGTAACTCCCGTGCGAATTCCGTTGACTTCGACACTTCGCTGCCGAGTTTCAAACCGAACGCGACCCGAGATCGATTTCGCCAATTTGTCCCCAATCTGTCCCCAAACTGTCCCCAATCTGTCCTGACGAGACACTTTCGAGACACTTGAATCGAAAGGTTTCCAGCTCGAAACTCGTGTTCACCATAACCAGCACCTTAGTAGACACTGTCCTGAATCTGTCCAGAGACACTTTTAGGACAGATTTGAAGGTCACGAGTTCGAATCCCAGCACCAGCATTTTGTTGCTCATGGCAGCATTTCCTTCTAACACGCCCCCTTGCTGTCATGAGTATGCTGGATCAGCCCGGCTGCTGCACAGCATCGGTTAAAGGCTACCTTATCGAGCCACTTCGTGAAGAAGTCCGTGGGCTGCGCAGTCGTAGGGATGTGCTGCAGCTCCAACTTCTTCATGCGCACCATGTCCTGCAG